GTCTCCGAATTACCTTTCTTCCACACTTAACTTCGTACTTTATTCCATGCAAGGGGGCACGTCTCAACCCGGATGCATTCTACTTCTTCCTCGTAACAGCCCAATCTTCCTGAGAAGGCTAATGCATTTCACCAATCTCACACAGAGTTAGGTCATGTCAAAAAAATCTCTATTTCCAATAAAACACTGATATCTTTGTTTTAATTTTAAATTAATATAAGATTGTTCCTCAACTTCTTTTATTTGCATGTGTTTTTGTACCTGTATCTTCGTGGATGCAGGACACACCTTGTACACAGTAGCAAACAAGAGCAAGCAGAGCATTATTTTTCAGGTGGAATTTTCTGGAAGTACAAAATATATCTCACTAGGATCAGCTCTAGTGATGTAGGTGCTATAGCTTTATTCATATGTAATCTGTGTTTGAGACGCTCTATGCAGATACAACCTTTCTGTATCTAATCACACATGGAGGCTGTGAAAAAAACCCTCCTTCATTTGCAGCTTGGGGTCTCATACATCCATTTTGGACTTTATAACATGCTTCTTTTGACTGATTTTTTCTAATGCTTGCTGTTGTGATAGGTCAGATAGACCCAGCCTCTGCATGATTATGATTAATCTCCATTCTGTCAAAGAGATGTAAATCAGCTTTGCCAGGAGTGTAGGAAAATCTGGGGAGGTTGGAGCCCCTATTCAGCTGACTCAGACCTGAAGGCACATTCAGGTGAAATGGCAGGTCTGAGTAAGACATCCCCGGTGGCAGAGGACTCTTGTGAGGCATCTCTGCCCAGCACTGGTGGCTGGAGAAACCAAAAGTGGCCTTTACCATCCGATATCTTGCAGCTAGTGAAGGACATTCATCTTGTCATCTGCTGATGTCTGTAGCAGGAGGCCACAAAGCATCTGGTGGTGGTGGAGCAATGAGATGCAGAGGGGTGCATCACATTATAGGTGGTGGTAGGAAGAAGGAGGACTTTATCCCACTGAATTTTGCCGTCTGAAAAAGCTGTGGGAGGAGCCATATGGGATGTGTCTGACCCCACTTGTCCTTGTGCGGAGAAGTGGACTCGTCTCTGCAGTGATGGGATCTCCAGAAAACGCCACGGCTGAGCTCCATTTACTGTACAGCTGGCGCCACACCATGCAGCTTAAATATGTTCAGATCCATCCTGACCTGAAAATCCAGCATATTTTTCAGGACGGGTCTGTCAGAACTGACTATGAAATGCCAAGGAAAGTATTTTTGCAGAGGAAAGTGTTTTGTTTCAAGACTATTAAGATTGTACTTACAAGCGTAGCACTCAAGGTTATACTTACAATGCACTTTTAAATGACAGTATTTTAAAATGGAAGATACTGTACAGAAAAAAAAGTGACATTTTCATAGTTAGATTCATGTTCAGTTTTAGATTTTTCTCAAATTAAATGCTGTATAATGAGTTGAACAAAATGTTTTCCCTTCTAAAATTAGTGTAGTCTTCACTGTAACGTGGAGGGGGAAGGGAGAAGTCAGCTATGCTGAGGTCTTAGTTACTCTTGTTGCTAGTCTATGACTTTCTTGCCATGACTTTGAGAAATTGTGCATGTGCTGAGGAGGAGAAGGATGGGTGGTTGGCTGCCAGCCTGCCCGGTGTGGGGAGTACCGAGGAGTTACCTTCTCCCTCCCCACTTGGGGAGATGATTCCTGAGAACCCCGGTGCAGGAGGACTGCGCTGTTGAGAAGAGAAGGTTGAGAGGGGGTCTTATCAACACGTACAAATACCCAAGCGGAGAATGTAGAGAGGAATGGGACAAACTCTTCTCAGTGGTGGCCAGAGACAGCACAGGGGGAAATGCGTGCAAGTTGAACCCCTGGCAGTTCCATCTCCATGTGAGGAAGAACTTCTTTGGTGTGAGGGTGCCAGAGCCCTGGCACAGGCTGCCCAGGGAGGCTGGGGAGTCTCCTTCTCTGGAGATCTTCCCAACCCGCCTGGATGCGACCAGCTGCCCCATGCTCTGGGTGTCCCTGCTGGAGCAGGGGATTGGACTGGATGATCTCTAGAGGTCCTTCCAACCTCAACCATTCTGTGATTCTGCGTGTCCTACAGCAGCATGAAGGCAAGAGCTGCCGCACAGCCACCGCTGGGCCTTCTTCTCACGGCTCCCTGTGGGGACAGTCTGTGCCTCAACGTGCCTGGCCACGGGAGGGCCCTTTGTTGCCTGGTATTTGAGATCTCCCGGGGCACAATCTCTTGTCACCTTCACCCTGGCCTGTTGCATTTCCATCTGCTCCCCAGCCTCTTCTGAACACTGACTGCCGCTCACAGCTCTGCTTTCTCGGCCCACGGAGATGCCCTCTGCCCACACATGGGAGACCTGGCCCACCATAGCCCTTCCCACCTCTCCGGGCTTGTTTTTAAACCCTCAGGAAATCATCAGCATTTCTGAGGCCTAAGGGAGCTTTGCAGTTAATGGAAGTGGTGGCGGCGGCGGCGCCACATTCAGAGAGGTGCCAGCAGGCGAAGCCACGTGGGCACCCAGGCCAGTGGCAGCAGCCGCCTCGTGCGTGAGGAAGGGGCACCCGCATCTCCCGCCCCAGCTGTGGCCACAGCGCAGCCGGCCCCTCGCTGCCCCTGGTGGCCCTCACGGCTCCTGCGTGGTGTTGCCAGCGGGGGTGGTGGCCGGGGAGCCATTTTGTGCAGGGCCGCTGCATGTTCAGGGTTCCTCTTGGATGTTCAGGGACCCTCTTGGCCGCCTCGGACGGTGTTTTGCCCCTCACTGATGCGGGGGCACATTCTGCTTCTGAGCACTCGTAGGTGTGCAACAGCTCGGGTGAAATCAATGCACTTGTCTGCACACCCATTTCTCTAGAATGCGGCCCTTTATTTCACAATGTCTCTCTTGGCTGTACACAAGGAAACATCAGGCATCTTTTAGTGCCACAAATTAAGTTCATCACATCTCATCACAACAGCTTGCCTTCAAATACTAGAGACACTGGGCCAACCAGACATCTTTTTAATAACGATTTCAGTATCAAATACATCTGTGCTACAATGATGACATTTATAAACAGAGCAAATGGGAAATAACTTAAAATATTTTGCTTCTCTTAGTCAGGATGTAAGGACATAAGACCCAGATTCCAGTTATTTTACACATTTTTTTTTCACTACAATATAGGCAGTGATCCAACAGAGCACTTAGGAGTGTGCTTAATATTAAGAATCTAAATAATCACTCTGAAATCTCACTTTTGGACATAAAAGTGCCTTTTGAGTCAGAGAAGAGGTTTTAACTTACAAGTGAGCATTCAGTTCCCAGCATCAGAAGTTGTATCCTACAAAGTGTTTTGTAATATTCCATGCAAAGTATTGTAATAACAATTACTTGACCACTTATTCTGCAGCTGTGTTTGATACATGAGGGACAGATCAATGCTGTCAATGTTCCAGAAAATCCTGAATTTCCACCAGTGAGTTTCATTGCACAGAAATCAATCCGCTTTTCGTATTAACCTTAAAATATCTATGACAAGAGATGTACATTTTTGGAATATTCCAACTTTGGACAGCGACCAAAGTTAGCTGCTATGGCAGAGAAATAAATAAACAGATTTTGTGTCCCTACCTTGCCTTGCGTGCCTCACAGTGGAGCGTTAGCAAGCAAGAAGAAAGCATCTTTTTCCTTCCTCAGCACAGCACACAAGACTTAACGTAAGATGCTTGAGATCCTCAGCTGACAGATGTCAGGAATAGTTAGTCTGATTATCTGCGGTAGTTCAGTGAGCACCTCAACAGTGCTCTGCTCACTGCACGTGTCAATTTGGAATTAAAGTGAAGAGATGTGTTGCTGACAAGTCAGTTATTTACAAGGGTCCAGATCCCTTTTCTCTTAGAAGGAAGGTTTGGGATAACTTGCATAATCACTGATGAAGACCAAGACAACCATAAGCAGACATATATATATATATATAAAATGTACAGTGGCTATTGAGACATTTGCACCTGAAAAGAAACCATTACAATTTAGGTTGCAGGAAACAAATGATCCAATTCCCAAACTTCGTAGTGCTAGTTGTCTCTACTTTACTAGTAAAAATTGATTGAAAATGTGGATTGAACGAGATGATGCAGCAATTGGTTGTGATACTTCTTCATTCTGTTTGGTGCAAGAAATGCAGAATTATTCTTACCTCCTGTGTTACATGTTGGGGAAAAAAAGAGTATCTCAGGAGTTTTTGCTTTGTTGTTTGTCCTTTCCTCTTACTCTCTTCAGCTTTTCTAATGTAGCAACCGGTATTAAAGTACTGAGCTGAAGTACTGACATGAATTTACTAAGCAGAAAATCCCAAACCTCTTTGCAGGGATTATACAATTCCTGCTTTCAAAGCAGGCAGAGATAAGGCAGTGTAAAGAAAACCCTGAATCTGCCTAAATTCTCTCCATCTGGTTTTCAGGCTGCCAAGTCTTCCAGGTTTGTAGGCTACTTTCAAGATGGTTCCAAAAAATACCCAAGACAAATAAGCGCAATGAATGACAGTAAGATTAAATTTGCAGTGCAGGAGCCTGAACCGCTGTGAGAAAACTAGTGGGGTGTCCAGAGCCTGTTAGAAGTTGAAAGCCACTGCTTGGCCTTACACCGTGTGGTGGTACAGCTGTTCATGGAACCAGAGCAGGGAATTACTGACCCAAGTTCGCTGCTGAGGAGACAAAGCGATTCTCAGTCAGACCTCCAGGGAGTCTGCTGGGACTTGTTTCAAAATATTTATGTATAAATATATAAGTACTTGAGGGGAGGATGTAAAGAGGATGAGGCGAATCTCTTCTTGGTGGTGGCCAGTGACAGGACAAGGGGCAATGGGTACAAACTGAAACACAGGATGTCCCATCTCCACATGAGGAAGAACTTCTTTGGTGTGAAGGTGCCAGAGCCCTGGCCCAGGCTGCCCAGGGAGGCTGGGGAGTCTCCTTCTCTGGAGATCTCCCAAACCCGCCTGGATGCGACCAGCTGCCCCGTGCTCTGGGTATCCCTGCTGGATATTCCCCCTTCAGGCCCCTGCAAGCACTGCCTTAGTCTGGCTGTATTAGTTATTGACCTCTGCAAGAGGCAGAGAATAAACCTGGGGAAGAAATGGAGATGAAGTTCACAGTAGCATCAGCAGCAATTTGTTCCTGTCATTGCTTCCTTTGCAAATGTTCCTGCTCCTTAAAATTAAGATGCTGGCTAAAACTGGGCTTTTGAAATGAGCGAAATTATTAACGAGACTGCCAAAAAAGAAGTGTGTGCCCTGCATTTCTATAACAAAGACTGAGCTGCTTGCAACGCAGTTATTGAAAAAGAAAAATCAGGGCTCTGTATTTGCTCTCCTGACCACACTTGTGCTGCCAGGGTGGGGAATGCGGAGGTGCTGCTCAGCAGTGTGACACAGCGGGCCCACTCCAAAAACTTCGTAGTGCTAGTTGTCTCTACCTTACTAGTAAAAATTGATTGAAAATGTGGATTGAACAAGATGATGCAGCAATCGGTTGTGATACTTATTCATTCTCCAGAGATTCTTCATTCTCTGGGGGCCCGCTCAGAACATGCACATCACTGGTGTGGATTTGTCTAAAGCCTTGTTTGGTGAAGACACTGTCTGGCAGTTGCTACAGTACTGTGGCTCCTGCAGCGTCCACGCTCCGGGGGTCCTTCAGGCCAATGATGAAACTGTTGGTTCTCCTGGCCCCATGAACTAGGGAGACCACTTTGACTTTCTCCACTTGATGGCCCCTGGCTTCAAGCAGTTCAATATCTTCTTGAGGAAATTCACCTGTAGGGTTTTTAAAAGAGGAGTTTGTAACTGAAATCACTATTACCTGTGATACAAAATTTTCTCTTAACTCCTTTGAGATCTCCAGTGTGGAGAAAACTGCCTGAAAATGTTTCAGAAGGTCCCAGATAAGGTGAGTCAACGAGATGGCCAACGAGATTCACCATCCACTAGCTCTAAGGAGAAGACACTCAGGACTCAGCAGCAAAGAAGATGATTGTAACTGTGTTTGGAGGTGAGTCTTTGTGCAATGGGGAAAATAAGGGCTCCAGAAATTCACCTAAAGATGTGCAAGATCCTCCTCTTTGGAAAAAGGGGAAAATACTGGCATCTATTTTCATTTTTCTGTTCATAGAACAGAAGTGAGTCCCTGTTTTGAAGGGCTACGTTGCAAAAATAACATTAATAAATATTAATGAAAGTAAGGTGCAGGGCAGCTCCAAAGAGATGATGGTAAAGCAAGTTGCCAAATGAAAAACAAAGAATTAAAATTCATTTTAATTCATTTTAACTCCCCTTCATGCAATTCTCCTTCTTTCAGCCATCTACCTTAGGTTTCTTGCTCTTCTGCTTTTACTTTGTTTATTTTATTTGATATTTTATAATTTCCATATGAATAGAATTTTGAGGATACAAAACTGAGGATGCTGCTGGACAAACCATTCAGACACATAAAAATCCGCACAGTAATTTCAGCTACATTGTAGATTTTTCTTAATGTGAGCTTTGTTGATGCCAAACATCTAAACACACAAATCTGGACCTACAAATGCTTTTGAATTTTTTGGGGGGAAAGAGAGGCGGAGGGGAGAAGCCTCTTTTTGTTTGCCCCAACACAGTGTGCACTCCTGGGGTCATCATGCAGCAGATGATGAGCTGTGTGCTGGGCTGTGCGCCGCTTCCTCGGCAGTGTGCAAAGGAAATCCTGCCCCTTTGCTAAAGCTGCTGGGTTTGCAGGCTTCCCCTGCCCACTTTGCATACTCACTGTCAACCTGCAAGGTGTTGGACTGAAGCTCTGGATGAAGTCGGCCAAGTGACAAACTTTCGCTCAGATTCTTGTTAAATGTTAAAACATTTACTAAAACCTGCAAGAGAATAAAAGATCCCCAATAGTAACATAGTGATGAGAATGTGAGACGCAAACTTCCTGAGCCCCTTGTCATCACTGGCTCCAACATCTGCAGATGCAGCAGGCAAAGAAGTAGTGAAAGGTTTACCCAACTGTGTGATCTGGGTGCAGGGCACATACAAAGAGACTCTGGAAATACTGGGTTTATTTTATTCCTGAAAAAAAAATTGTACCTTTTCAGAACTGTATGGACTCTTTGTTATATGGTTCCTGCTGAGTTAAGAGAGATGTCTTTCTGGAACTTGACATCATCTCTAAAAAGGTATTTGTTACAGCCAAAAAAAGAGCACATGATCTCTCCAAACAGAGCACTAGGAGGCAATGGTTGGCTTCAATTTTCCTCTGAACTAACGTGTTCCAAGAGGTAAAAGAGAATAGGAGCCAGCTTCAGTTTTGCTTTCCTTTTTAGCAATTTGGTGCTGTTGTGCATACAGCCAAGCTATGGGCAAGTACTTTGCCTCAGTGCAAATCATGGTTTAGGAGAGGTGGCTTATAGCGTTGTGAGTAGGGAGGAACCCAGTCGAGAGTGTGCTAAAGGAAATTTCCATGGGGAAAAGGGCTCAAGGGCTGCCAGTCTCCTGCAATTCTCTGAACACAAATAGCTCCTATTCTCCTATTGATCCTTAAGATGAGCTTTGAACAGGTATTGCAATGCCTCAACATAATTAATGGAGTTTGTCAAGATCTTTTTCCTCTAGAGTCATGAGCAGCACCATCAGGAAAGGTGCAAACTCTGTCTTAGCAAAAGAAGTAAACTAGTCATTAAGTATCTGAAGCGGGGGTGTAGAGGTGATGGGGCCAGACTCTTGTCAGTTGTGCCTAGCAATAGGAAAGAGGCAACGAGCACGAGCTGAAACACGGGAAATTCCATCTGCACTTCAGGAAAACGTCTTGACTGTGAGGGTGACAGAGCACTGGGACAGGTTGTTCAGAGAGGTGGAGGAGTCTCCTTCTCAGGGGACCTTCAAAAGCTTCCTGGACAGAGTCCTTGGAAGCGTGTGCTGGGTCTAGAGTCCCTGCTGAGCAGGGGGATTGGACGAGATGATTCCCTGAGGTGTCTTGCAGCCTCAACCCTTCTGCAACAGTTCTCAGAGATTTGAATAACCAGATGTGTGCGATTGGTGGCACCAACTGCTGGTCCTGTGGCCGCCAGTTTCAAGCAACACCCGGGATGATAAAAATGGAAAGCGTGTGTTGAGGTGGGGGACCGTAACCCGCTCTGCACTGACCTGCACGATGCTGCTCAAGGCCTTGTCCCCGTTGCTGCCTCCCAGGCAAAGGTACGTCCCGCACATCCCCTCCGACGGTCTCACAATGGTGGGCAGCAAGAAAGACAGGGGCCGTTTCCGAGGCTGCACAAGATTTTGCTGCCGTTGGCAAAAAGAGGTGCAAAAACAAGTTAGTCAAACTGACCAAAGCTGTTCCCTTGCTCAAGTTACTCGTATTTCTCTTTCTACTTGAGCCAAGCAGACTCTAACGACGTTGTTTGTTACAAGGCTACCATTCACACTGCTAAGAAAATGTGCTCTGATGTTAACGGAACCTGGCAGTTTTTGTGCCGTTGCGCCCCAAGGCAGAGGGAGAGGCTCCAGAGAGGGCCACACACCAGTGCTCGGGTGCTGTGCTGGCAACGCCACGTGGCCTGGCAAGAGGGCACTACGGGGCAGCTCTGCAAGCCACCAGGAGCCACCGGGGATAGTTTCTTCCTAGGTTTTTGAGGTGTTTCTTCCACTGTCCATTACTTGTAAGTATATGAGGAATAAATCATAAAAAGTATTCTTAATTCAAGTCCACAGAAAAAGGTGGTGCTGGACTATGCTGTTGGATTACGCTGCTTTATGGTGATGACTGATACACATGATACTCTTTAATCCATTTTGGTGGCTTATATAATGAAAAAGCAGGAGCTTTTCTATCAGTAGTCCTTTCCAAGTTAATAATAAAGCATTGAATACCCTCCCTGCCTGGAGATGAGATAAAATTAATAGAAATATAACAGAGAATTCAGTTAAAAACTTGTCATGTTTGTCATTACCAGCCTGGGAAAGGAGTGGTTCGTTGTTTTATTTTGCCAGGAGAAGTCCAGCATCTGACTGTTCAGAAGGATTCCAGAGGGTGTTATTATTCCACTGCCAAACGGACGATTCAAGGAACTGAAAAGAAACACAGGGAATTCCATCAAAATCCTCACAGTGATCCACTGCACACCTCAAGGCTTTCAGTGCTTTAATTTTCTGTCCCGTTTTGTCTCTACAGAGAATCCTCAGCAAGTGTTTAGGGCTGGCTGGACATGAATAATGAAGGTGCCCATGTGTTCAGCAGCAGGAACCGTGTGGCCCATAGGGACTTAGTCCTCGCCTGTGGTTAGGATTCCCATCGAGGCAGTGGATTATTCTGGTCTCCGTGTCCCATGCAGGCCTTGAATGCAGCTACCACCTCCTCTCTAGGGAGCAGACTGAGGCCGCTCCAGAGATGTTTGTGCTGTGCAGGAGTGTAGGGAGAGCTGGGAAGGTTGCACGGGCAGAGCGGCACCACAAACCTCCACCCCATCTGCCCCATTCTGCCTCTGCATTCCTGCCCCATGAGCAGCTGGGGAATGTCCGAGTGCTGCTAATGTAGCCCAGTGATTTTAGACTATTTTAGCTTTAATGATCAATACAAAATTTCCTCTGGAACCACAAAGCTTGTCTAGAAAACACACCATCTCATAGTAAGCTTGCTTCTCTTCCCCTTTGAGGCTCCTTGAGAAGCAGACCATGGACTGATCCTACAGGCTGATTCAGCCTAGGCTGAATTCTGAGAGGGAAACCCCACAACCCATGTTACTGAGCTCCAGAGGTTGTTCCATGCTTTCATGCTTGCGTGTTCTTCTCCCTGCTCCCTCCCTTTGAACACATTATGGGGAGAAGAAGTAAGTCCTTTACCTTACAGCTGCAACGATGAAATCATCAGGTCCCATGACAAGGACCTGGCTAGCAGATGGTCCGCTCTCCGTGGAAAAGTGAGGCATGTGGGGATCAGAGGAGAAGGACTGGGAGTCGTTAATCAGCTGTCGCAGGGTATTAGCTTCTGATTTACTTCAGTGACGAGGGGTGGCAGGGAGGAAAGAAAGCAATGAACTTAGAGAGCTGAACATCTCTTGGTCTCTTGGTTGGAGTGTGCCTACACAGTCCCTGGAAGTGGTTCCCCGAAAGGGCTCATGTTGAGGAGAGGGAGCTCCTCTGGATTCTCAAATGCAAGGAAATGAGATATGTTGCCCACCACAGAGAGGGACTACCATAGACCTCCCTGACGTCATCTGTGGTGATGAACTCAGCCTTGATTGACAAGAGCTACTGGAACCTGGCTGAATGCTGCTCTAAGTGCAGAGGAGAATGAGCAAAATGCAGCCTTGGGCCAGCAACCACGGCTGAAGCTGTCTCTGAGGTAGAGGCTGGGCTGAAATCCCAGGCCTGGCCTCTCCTAAGGTACTGGGTGTACTGCAAAGGCACCAAGGACCATTGCAGGTGTTATGGAGAAAGAAAAGCAAGGTACTGCAGTCACAGGCAGCAGCACGATTCACTTGCTGAGAAGTAATATTCAGGGGAGGGAGAAAGTGGAGGAGCCCTCAAGCCTGAGTTAGTTTCAGGAGAGCTCGGTGGGAGGAAATCCTCAGAGCCTTCCGGGGGCATGCTTTGGAAGAGTGGGCCCTAGGAAGACCCTTAAGGACTGGTCTTTCTCAGGAAAACAAAGGTAGAGCAAAAGCAAGTTTTCCCTGGGAAAAGAACAAATGGAGGAATGATATCCAAACCGCAGGTCCTGACAGCTACGAACGTGCCTGGCAGACTCAGACCTACCTGAGCATGCCTTCTGCAGCATGAGTGACAGACACATCATCAGTTGGGTCGCCCAAGTTGCTAGCTAGGCTCAAGGCTATTTTTAATGTCTAAATTGAAAACAGAGAAAGAAAAAACATTTAGGTGGCCCTGGAAATTCCACTTTATATTCTTCACACAGGAAGAGGTATCTGTTCTCCCAACATGTAGGTGAAAGCCTATGAACCACAGTGTCTAATAGCCTGGTTCTGGGAACAGCTCAGTGGAAAGGTCTACAAGGACCTCCAAGGCATGCACATGGTGGCAGAAGGCCATGAGGTTTTGCAGGGCAAATTGTGTGCTGGGGGAGACGAATGAATCCAGCAGGATTTGTCCATATGACACCCAAGGTAAAACACCCCTAACAGCAAATGTCCAACTGACACAGCTCCGCGGTTCAGCCATCTGGAAAGAGGCTCACCAGAACTCTCCTCACCAACTGATGTTACCCACCTATCTAGCTGTAAGTCATCCAAATGGTAGTCCCAGTTAGTCCTCAGTACTTTGGGGATGGCACTTTCAAAGAGGGATCTGGGTTTTTTGTTTGTTTGTTTGTTTCGGGGTTTTTTTTTTTGTGTGTGTTTTTTCTCCATATATTTTTCTTTGAGCTGCTACTTGTGATCACATGCTTGCTTAAAACTCCCAGCTGTGGACCTGTTAATGTCTAATAACACAGCTGTGCTTACAGAGCAGGCAACTGAACACTCGCCTGTCTTCCCAGAAACTTGCCACATTTTGAAAGGGCCATTTACAGACATAAATACTGCATAGATCATGACCTGGACCCCTGAGGTGACGAGGTTAGCTAAAATGTAAAGATTTTTTAAAAATCTAATTTTCTTGGTTGTCTTCATCTATGGCTTTTTGGCTGCAACAGCCACACATTGTGGACTCTCCCACATCACTTTCGTGCTGCCTAGGTTGCTGTGGCATAAGATGCAAAGGAAAGAGATAGGGCTGTCCTCAACTGCTGGGAGATTGTTCTGCAGAGATAGCCACATAGAAGATATGGACAAAAGGCACTGCTCTTCTTGAGAACATTCTTCTTAAGCAGGAAAGAGATCAGCAAGGGAGGAGATTCCAGTGCCTGCCTGTGCCTGAAGCAGCAGGACAGCACAGCTTTACACCTTAGCGGTCTGATTGTTCTGCCCTGGGACTCACCTACACTTCTGTACAGCTGACAAATCAATACGTTCTCCAGCAGCACGACAAACTGAGCCGAATGTTTAACTGCTCTTACCTCTGCCATCCAGTGCAGCATATTCCCCCTGGATGCTCGATTGGTGATGTTAAAGCCCTCAAGGATATTCAGTGCAGTCATTAGTGCAGGGCCTGCATGGGGAGGTGGGGGACTGAAGACCAGATGACCTGGGAAGGGAAGAAGAGAGGAATGAAGCTGATTGTGTCAGATGCTGTCTAATTACAGTATTTTCCCATAGCTATTGTCCTTGAGGACATGGAAAGCTTCCCAGTCTAGGGGAGATAATGGGAAACAGTAAGATTTTAAAAAGTTTTCTCCACACTTTCGTATTGTGTCATTCTGTTTCTTTTTGATGAATACAGGAAGCCAAAATACGGTTTATTTTTTTGTATCTGAAATTCAGCTCTTGTTTGGTGGCTGGTTGACTGCACTATGGGTAGATCCAAAAGGGTTTGTAATGTTACGGGTATCAGCAGGGTGTATACAGTGGTTTTGATAAAAGAATGACATTTAGATAACTTTGCGTATAAAGCCGTTTTTTCCCCTTTGCAGATCAACTGCAGAGGCAGGCACTAGTCCATGGTCTAACTTATATCTAGGTAGGGCCTAAGCATGTGTTTGTGTTGCTTCTTTAGACACTAACGTTATAGCAAAACACCATCAGTCACTATGAAAAGGGAAAAAAAACCATTTCAAGTGCTGAAAACCTCCCAAACTGCCGATGATGCATCAGTGCCAAGAGGCAGCGGCAGGAAACGCACTGGAGGCTCTTCTGCAGCTGCGGCTGGAGAGCTCAGCAGAGCTTCGAGCTGCTTAGGAGCCGCTCAGGGTGGCCCCTGCTTGGCAGGTACTGCTACCAGCCGCTGCCAGGTGAAGCAAACCCTCACCCGTGGGTTGGGCCACACTGTTTACCTCGATATACCGTGTGGACTGGGTTCTCCAGCAGGGCACTGTAGTTACTGAAGTCTTCCTCCATCAGGACCCCTCCATAGCTGTGGACCTGGGTAGGAGAGCAAAAAGCAGATCACACTGAGCGAGCAGCATCAAGGCCTTCCTCCTGGCAGCCCACGTGAACAAATACTGGGTTATTGAACAAATACCACTGACGTTCCTGAGTGCTGAGGTCTTCCAGCATAATCAAAGTGGCCAGGTCTTTAAAAATCTGTGCTTTCAGGACACAAAGCCTTGAAGGCCTGTCTCACATCCACTGTCAAGATCTGCAGGACCTCCTAAAGCTCCCTCTTATCGCAGGTGCCCTGAAAAGGCTTCCAATCCTTTTTATCCATGAAGATGGAAAATAACACTGTCTCACAATGTGCCTCCCTAGGGAGTGGCAAGGATGAGTATGTGAAAAGTTATGAAGCATTTGAATACTGACAGGCCAAAAGATACTATGCATGCAGAAGAGGACTACGGGCTTACTAGATGCCCTATCACTAGAAATCTTTAGCTCAGGATTCTGGCCCAAAGTTTAAGGCTTTTGGGTAAAAGGGAGGCTTCAATACCTTTGGTCTTTCTGGAAGACTTTCTAGAGGTATCATTTATCAGGACTGATATTTTTTCATCTACGCAATAAAGATGAGAAATTCTCTCATCATCCCTGCAGAGGGCAGGTTTTCTAAGGCTGAGTCCTAATGAAGATGAAGTAGGAACCATCATAACTGTGCTTTGCTGGCCTTAAAATCCTGCAGTAGATGTCACAAGACCTCTCCATCACCTCAGGAGTGCTATCATTCTGGCGGCCCAGCTCCTTTCTTTCACCCAGGAGAAGCCACATAGAGGCCAATGAGAGATTCTGGTGGGGTGAGCTGCTGCTGTGAATCCTCTGAACTTCCATCCGAAAATGGGAGGAAACAAAAAATCTTTATGTGTTCTGGTTCCAGACTAACCAGCTACCTGAGCAAGAAACCATCTTCTCTGGCAGAAGTTGACGAAATGTGGGAACAGGAAAGCTAACAAAACCTGGGAACAGGAAAGCTAAGGTGCCTGAAGGGCACCTCAACAGGGACGGGTCAGGCACGGTGCCTCTATGCTGAAGTGCTTGGAGCATGAGATTCAGCTCCTGGTTCAGAACTGCAGACGGCCCTGCCTTGGGATTCCTGCTCTCTTCTGAAAGCAGCTCCGAGGAGAAGGCCTGGTTGAAGACAACAGCTGAGTGGAGCTGTGGGAGTGGGGCAGGAGGAGAAGCCCCTGTCAACCACACACTCCAAACACTGTCTCACATCCCCCAAAGACCGCTTTTCATACCTGTGCTTTCCCACATTGGAGTGGAAAGAAAAGGAAGAATGTCTGGAGGTTTATATGATTTCACTGCTTTAATTGTCCTTGCTTCTCTGGAACAATTAGCACTGTGAAGCTGATGTGGGAAGCCAGAGCAAACTCTTCTCTGCAGCCAGACCTGTAACTACACACTCGGCCCCAGAGCTTGCCACTGTTCGTGGTGATGCAACGCCAGGCCTTTCTCTTCCATGGACCAGATTGGGACCAGCTGGGCCTTTCTCCTCCAACCAGCTTGAGACACCCCAAGAAGCAATCCTAATTTGGGGGGGACTAAGTGATAATTAGGAATTTAGCTGTAGAGATGGAGCACAAGCTTGGAACTTTTCCCCAGGATCACTTTGAGCTACTGCTGCACAAGCAGCAGCTTTTCACAAGTGTCACTAACACTACCTTGGCACAGCCCAGAGGGTATTTTCCATTTTTTTTTTTCCTTCTGTAGATAGTTAAACTGCTGCAGTGATATGGATGGGAGGAAAAAAAGGTGGCTGCATGTATTTGTCCCTGTTGTTGAAGTGTCACCCGGCTATGTCTTATTTCAAGGTGATTTTCACATTTTAAGCAGGGGATAAGGAAGGCAACACCTTCCTAGGTTCTTCTGTGCTATGCCATGGTCTAGAGCAGAGATGAGGACAGACATGGCTCACCTCAGAGATCATCTCCTGTGTCAAGTTGCCGCTGTAGAAAGCTGCAGCTCCCTCCGCTCCGAGCATCTCCAGAAGAGCCGCGAGGTCCAGCCGCCTCACGAACATGCCAGGCAGTAAGGGCTGCCCGTCTGGCAGGAAGGTCTCCCGAAACTTGTCAGAATAGTTCACGTCCTTCAGCTCACTTACAGCTTTGGCTGCAGACAAGGAGGAGGAGGGCAGCGCCTCAGGGATGTCCAGACAGCCCAAGGGACCGTCAGCTTGCACACTACCCGAGTCACTGGGTGCCTCATGGGGAGGTCTGGGAGTTCCTGCTACCTGTTACCTATTCCAAAACTAGAGACTCAGACCACAGGGCAGCCGGTCGTGCTCCCATCTCAGCTTGGAAGGAAGCTAAGTGCTCAGCTCCCTGCTGTGCATTGCACACATTTCAAGCCTGGGTTGGCAGGGCGTGCAGGAAAGGAGGAACAAGGATCTTCCCCTAAGCTGCGTGGCGAGGCTCCAGCAGAGCCAGCGTGGCAGCCCTCACCTCACAGTGCTAGAGCGGGGTCCTGGCTGTAGTTAAGAGCAGAGTGCTGTTCCTGGCTAGCCCTGGGTGGCTGCCTAGCTTGGTCTGTTGGGCCCTGACCTCATGGAAAGAGATCCTATTTTCTTGTCATCATGGTCTCCTCTTGCCTTGCTCAGCTCCTGACGCCATCTGTTCCCAAGTCGGAAGAGTCCTAGTTTCCATCAAATAACCGTCTTCCTCCTGCCGGACATGTCACTAGCTCGCTCCCTCCTCTGCAGCACAAAGGCCATGGGCTGCTTCACGCTGAGTACGGACCCTTGGCTCCTGGTCATTTACTCAGCATCACAGAATCACAGAATACTCAAGGTTGGAAGGGACCTCTAGAGATCATCTAGTCCAACCTTCCTGCTCCAGCAGGGACACCCGGAGCATGTGGCACAGGGTGGCATCCAGATGGGTTTTGAAGACCTCCAGAGAAGGAGACTCCACAACCTCCCTGAGCAGCCTGTTGCAGGGCTCTGTCACCCTCACAGTGAAGAAGTTCCTCCTCACATGGAGATGGAACTGCCTGTGGTGCAGCTTGCACCCATTACCCCTTGTCCTGTCACTGGCCACCACTAAGAAGAGCTTGGCCCCTTCCTCCCTACATTCCCCCTTCATGAGCTTATACATGTTAATCAGATCCCTCTCAGCCTTCTCTTCTCCAAGCTGAACAGGCCCAACTCACTCAGTCTCTCCTCATATGACAGATGATCCAGTCCCTTAATCATGTTTGTTGCCCTCTGTTGGACCCTCTCTAGAAGCCCCACGTCCCTCTGATTCCCACATATATCCCACATGATCTTACTCACCCAGATCATGCGTGACATTGAACCCGTTCTGGGCAACACCAGCAACAAGGTTCAGCAGCTCGGACCATGGGAGTCTGCCAGAGAAGAAAACAAGGTGAAATCTTCTGTCTGGGAAGGATGCGCAGCAGGGCAACCCTGGTTGTGGGGGGCAGGCACGGGGCTCGGTGCCACTCTAACTGGGCTCTTGCCATGCCAGGCTGTGGGCCAGCTGCAGCTCGGACCACCAAAATGAGCTCTGAGCTTATGGTGGGTTATTTCTTCTCACCCAGATCATCTCAATGATCCACAAAGTGCCCCAGAGAGAAACAGCAGTAAAATGAGACAGGAGGGGACATCTCTGAGATAAAACTTCAAGTCAGACTGTAACCCTAAGCAAGTCATTCAAATTCTCCCTCTTACTTGTTAGAAAATATTTGCAAAAGTTTTTGCTTTTTGGATAAAATCAAAGCTGAAAATATCCCTTTTTAAGTTGTGGTTCATTATTCAGTTGTAATCAGCTTTCTTTTCTTACTGAAGATAAGAAGGAAAAAGAATGAGAGATAAGGTGGAGATATCTATGTTAGGTATTCTTCACTTGTCAACTCATTAGCAAAAAAAGAGAAAATGTGACAAAAATAAATTCTTTCTTTTAAATAAAACAAACAAAAAAGGATCATATTTTTACCCCCAAGCGCTCCTTAGCTAATGTTGGGAGTGACAGATGAGCCTGTGGTCCGGTGGCAGGTCCACAGAGAGCGGCGCGGTGGGACCACGGCGGCGCGACGCCGGCCCGCCTGCACCACTCGATTGTCTTACCTCCCATATAACTGGTGTGCCCGATGCATTCCGTGTATCATGCCCGGCACCCCCACGAGGAGACCTAGCTGTAAGAGAAGGAAGGACAAAGAGGAAGACCTGTCAGGACATGTCCCACAATTGTAAGTCAAAGAACTGACAGAAAGGAGATGTGAGTCATGCTCACATGGAAGGTGCTTGCAGGGTCTTCAGGAGAAGGGAAGAGGCTAGAGTCTGCAGTAACACACTATTAAGGAATAACACATATTATTAAGGGAAAATGGTCTTCAGAAAGAGAAGTAAGTTCATTCTTGATGTCAAGACGGTGAAATCAAGAGAAATAAGGGGACTTCTGCTCCCTCCAAGGACTTTTGTTGTCCTGGCATCTCACTGCTGGGTGGAGATGTTTTCCTCACTTCCCTTGCTCTGCTGGGCCTCTTTACTCCCCAGAGCCTTGCAGGCTTCAGGCTTTCCAGGAGAGCTGCAGCAGTGCTGGCCTGGGGCTCCTCAGGTCCTCAGGACTTGGGATCTTTCACCAGAGGAGAGGCCTCCTGCTGCCTGCGGCAAGCGTGGCGACGAGGTTTCGCTCAGCTCCCAGTGCACAGCAAGTACAGTGCACATGGGAAGGGCGTTACCGGAGAAGATGCAGCCCAAGCAGCTTGGCCGGGAGGAGGACCTGCATAAGGCAGCCTGACCAGTGATGATGTCTTCCCTGTGAATGGTGTCTGCTGGCTCAGGGCCCCCCAGCTCGTTGCTTTCCCCCAGGCCTCTCCTCCTGTTGCTCCTGACTCAGCTGGGCAGTCAGGGTGGAATGTGGACATGGAAAGAGGGGAGACTTGGAGACATCATCCAACTACAGCTGCAGAAAAGAAAACCTTGCAGACACTGCTCCTCACCCTGGTGTCCAAGGCCTTCTGCAGACTCTCCTCCTCAGGGATGCCCAGGGGAGCCGTTTCACGGAAATCAATCACCTCGCTCTTGTTCTTACGGATGTCGTGGACCAGCATCACCCCACCCCTGCAGAGAGATGATAGGATTAGCCAACACCCACAGGAGCAACCGTGCTACAGTATAACCCAAAACAACACAGGCAAACCCGCTTGGATGCAGCCCTGTGCCACGTGCTCTAGGTGACCCTGCGTGAGCAGGGGGGTTGGACTCGATGACCTCTGAGGTCCCTTCCAACCTTCGGCATTCTATGATTCTATGAAAGGGGCTCATTGCAGCAAGTCAGTCAACTCCCTTTAGAGATCCAGGTCTTCCAACCTGTTAGGAAAGGGCCGTGGGCCCATCCTGGCCGTCCTCCTGCATGACACAGCCAAGTTCAAAGGATCACTGCGAGCCAAGGTGTCACCTCGGGAGCAGAGCCTCTCTCCATAGGAGATGCTCTCTGCACAGGAGCGAGTGGCCCAGACCTGGGCTGGGGCAACAGCAGTGTAAGGGGAACGTTTTTCAGGTCTTGGCTACTTCCAGAGCAGCGAGGGGACCTCTTCAGGGTGACTGAGTGAGGCCCAGGGTCTGAAGCAGGTTGTCCGTGGGGCCGAGCCAGGAAGTGAGGCTGGATGGGTTCCCACCAGCCCGGCCAGCAGGGCCCCTGCTCTGTTCCACTTTGGGCCTGGGGCTAGGCGGGATTTTCTTTCTAATCCGAGCAATTTTGCAACAAGACTGGAGTGGGGGTGTTGCTTACAACCAAACAACCTTCACTTCAGCTTGGAGCTGCTATCGGGTGACAGGGTTTTATGCAACACTCCTGAGACTTCCTGGAGGACTAAGACTGAGCATCTCAGGTGGTTCCCAGCCCTGGAGGCCAGCACGGGGAGGAGGAAGGAGGTGAGGCTGAGGGCTCGCCAGCCCCAAGCAGCACCTCGTCCCATGCCTGCCTCCCCCACCTTCCCCCCTCCAGCTTGAAGCCAGGGTTGCATCTCCCTCTTTTGTTGCACAAGGTGCGAAACTTACAGTGGGAACCCTCTGATCTCTGACACCGTTGGGTTCCCATGAGCATGGGTGCTGCAAGCTCCCTGGCACACCTGCACAGAGTTTCTGGTTGCCTGTGGGCACTTTTTTCTCTACGCTCTCAAGCCTAATGCTCAGGTTAGCTTGTTGCTCGTTAAGTCAGGTCTCAGTGGGGCCTGGCTATGGATCTCTCTGCCTTGCAGTCAGTTTGGTTCAGCCTCTGCTGCCTGGGGACTTCCTCCTGCTCTTGAGGATGTGAAGGCACAAGCAGCACCCGAACGGGGCCAGCTCTGCATGGACACACATGGACATGTGGCTCTGGCTGGCCACAGATGTCACGGAGACACTAAAGCAGGGTAGAAGGCACCTGCTGACCTGGGGCTCACCCACCTTCTTTCTGCAGGGGCTGGACTTGCTGCGAACACACCCTGCATGCGGGGACTTGGACGAGGAGAAGCGCAAATCTCCACGTATGGGGAAACGGTCTGCAGGAGGACGACAGACACCACCGCGGGGCTTGGGGGGGCACACGGGGGAGGCAGCTAATACCTACCCACCGATCCCTGACGTGTGCGGGTTGACTACTCCCGCGCAGAGGGCCGAGGCGATGGCTGCGTCTACTGAGGAGCCCTGCTTGTTGAGCACCTCTATGCCCAGGGCTGTGCAGCGGGCAGCGTCCGTGACCACAGCGCCCCTATGGAAGATCTGCCAGAAGAAGAGAAGAGTGGCTGGACCTGAGAAAGTGCCAATGACCCCACGTCGTGGCCCAGTTCCGTGGGATGATTCACAGGATGGGGCCGATGTAGCAGTGGTCATGGGGCCAGCTGCTTGGCTCCCGCTTGCCAGAGTCAAGGCTGCTCCTGGCCTGAGTTTTCAGGTACTTCCAAATGTGGGTGGAAACAACGTATGTCACATCCACACCAGGACAACTGTGGCCAATCTGTGCACTAACATTTGACCATAGCCACGTTCTGCTCCTACCCTCCAACAAGCCAAGAGCAGAGTTGGAGTAACCTTCAAGAGTGACGGGAGGATGGTTTGCTGTGGAAAAGCAATCCCTGGGAAGAGGAATACACTTGTGCAACAGCTAAAAGTCACAGTTCCGTCTCCCTAATGCAGTGTCATGGCTTGCTCTCACCCTTCCTTTGTGCCAGCCGCAGTGTTCATGCAGCTGCATGATGTTAAAAAAAGATTCATTGTTAGCCAAGTTAATTCTGAAGTCGAAACTCTTGGCATGAGCTGGGGTGGCCTCGGGAAGTGCTGGGGTGCTGTGAACATGGCTAAGGGGCTACGGACACGGCTAAGACACAACGGACGTGGCAGGCTGGTGGGCAGCAGCATCCCTCCTGGGAGCTGCATCAAGGGGCCGGGATGCACAGTGTCCCCTGGCATGATGACTCCTGGGCCGCCCCAGACGGACAGACAGACAGACGGACAGATGGACGAGCCACTCCCCTGCTGACACTTGTGCTTGTGTCTCAGTAAGAGAAGGAAAAATGAAAACAGCAAAGCCCTCTGTTTCTGTTCTGCTCTGCTTCCAGGCATTCCCCTGCCTGATACTGGGTGGAAACAAATGCTTTCTGAGATGGGCTCTGACAGACAGATCCATAAATTCCTGCAAGTGGGGATGTACAAACGATGTCTCCTTAAATGAAAGCTGCTCTCTGAGAAATCTTCACACCTGCCTCAGATCCCAGCTGCATCCCCAGGGGCGGGTCTCTGTGCTCATCCTGTGCCCCCCAAACCGGGCTCTGCTGCTCGCAGCCCCAGCACGGGGAGCACGGAGAGCCCCGCACGGCTCTTCAGCTGCTAGAGCCAAAGCAGAGCAGGCTGCGAAGCCACTGCTGTGTCTTACCTGTGGGTCCCCGAAGTAGATCTGCATGATCAAGGCCACGGTGACGCCCGTGGCAAAGGTGAGGCAGGCGGTGATGATGACGGTTAGCCCGTCCTGCCGGCAGCTGCAGTCCCCAGAGAAAGGGTCCTTGCTCGTCTCCTGAAGAGGGGACGCGTCCTGGCTGCCCATCTCCGAGGAGGACGAGGGCAGGCGCTGCAGGCGAGCCGACTTCAGGAAGGAGTCTGGATCTTTGTGCGCAGCGGGGAAAAAACAAGTGTTAGTTAATTGAGCAACACCGGGTTCTTATTGCAGTGTTTACCCAGCACTAACATTACACTGTGCCGCTTCCAGCAAGGCTATTACCTTCCCTATTGATCCAAGCTCTCAATAGACTTTCTGGCTCGGATGCTGCTCTGGGTCATTTTACTCTTCCCTTCCTTTAGTGCTAGTTATTCCAAGATTACTTTTTCCCAAAGAAGGATAGGAAACCTGAATTTTGCTCCATTTCAGTCAATTCACCAGCCTTCAGCAGTGGACCTGCAACTGCTGCTCCTTTGTTTCTCACACAGAACTGACTTGCTAACAGCTTTCAGAAATGCAGCAGAAATGAAGAACAGGAGATTAAGATAAAAAGAGAAGCCTGGCAGCATTACTTGCTTGAGCTGGAGCACCTGAGCAAAACGGACTCACAGCAGAACATGTGAGGCGGACGCAGGATAGAGCGGAGGCAGAGGAGAGCAAAGCTGCACACTGGAGGGCTCGGGAGGTCCCCCAGGTCACACAGAGAGAGGCTTCACTTACATTTCTCACGTCCTCCAGCTGACAAGGCCCGCTGTGAAATCAAGCTGCTTGCTGAACTCACAGCCTCGGAGACGGCAAACGCAGCGGGAGGAAGTCTCAGCTTCCCCATGCCTGGCACCCGCCGGAGCTCCGTGTGACCAAAAAGACTCTGCTTTGCTCTGGAATATGTCTCAGATCTCCCTGCCGCCTTCAGCTGTTGCTTTGGAGGTGGAGAGGGTGCCCGCTGAGCAGGCTCTGCCCGCGCACGGCTGACACGAAGCGCAGGACGCTGCCGGTGACGGCTCTGGGGTGGCAGCCCCCGGGTGCAGGAGGCTGCTGGGGGGACGAGCCCGTCCCGCCAGGCACCAGGCAGGAGCGGGTGACGCAGGGCACGTGGGGCCTCCGGGCTGGATTCCCCCTGGGCTCCTGGGCTCAAGGACAGGCCATTCCCTCTGCCCAAGGGCCGCAGCGCTCTGTGCACGCATGGTGGGAGGAAGAGGAGCACTGCGCAGGTGACTGTTGCTTTACGGGGAAAAGATGAGGCGGGAAGGACCTCTGCCTCATGGAATCTGGCAGGAAGTGCTGGGTAGTTTGTGCCTACAGGCTAATCCCGCATGCACAGTCCAGGGACAGTGACTCCTTGGGACTGGCCTTTCTTGGAGCCAAAGCCTGGACCTGCTGGGGCTTCACCTGTAAACGATGAGGCTGAGGGTCCAACTGCCAGCTCCCTCCCCAGAGGAGACCCCTTGAGGAAAGGGAAAGGGCTGTAGCTCTCAGAGCCCCAACGTGCACGCGCGGGACCGCAGGGACATCTGCTGTTTGCCCTGCCTGTCCTGGGGACGTTTTCTGGGTTTGGTGTAAGTGGGGACCGAGCAAGCAGGAGTAGATGGAGACCCTCAGCCCCAGTAACCTCCCTTGCCCCTCTCAATGTCCTCAGCCGGCAGTATCTCCTGGGAGACTGCCAGCCATGTCCTTGTCATGCCACTAAAACCCTGGGGTCCAGCTCAGGCCTTGGGCAGTTCTGGAAGCCAGGCAGAGAGTTAGTTCTAAGTTTAGCGATGCTGTAACTTGGAGTAAGTCCCCTACAGCCAGGGTGTCCCTTTAAAGTGACTCCGATCTCATCCACACTGCAGAGACTCGGGAGCGGCGCTGAGAAGGGCTCCTGAGCTCCATGTGAGCACGGCCGCGCTCGGCGCACCCGGAGTCACTCGCACGTTGGCCGGGTCCGAGGGAGAGAGGCCCGCAGGGTGCGGGCCCGCAGCAGCCTGGGCCTGTGGGATGTGGGAGGCTCAGGGGCCTGCACAGAGGACCATGGCTGGACTGGCAGCGGATGCTGTGGGCCAGGGGTGCCAGGGGTCCCACAAAGTCCCCGACACTCACTGTAGTGGGCACATTTCCCCTTCCAGTTGCACTGGCAGTGGGGAAATAGAGCGAGAACTGACCCAGGTCCTTCACCGGCCTCTTCAGGACGGTGTCTCTTTACTCTGCCTCAGGCTCCCATAGCACCTGGTGACAGGAGGGCAGTCCAGAGTGTCCCCGGGGGCCTGGGCTGGTTTGTAACCACCCCGAAAGCATCCGTGGGAGAGTGGAAGACAAGTCAGCCCCCTGCGCCCAGGGAGGGCTGCCCCAGCCAGCACAGGAGCCTTGCACTGCCCTTCTCTGCCACAGACTCCCTGCAAGACCTCGGGCAAGTTGCTTAGGCTTTTTGAAGCTGCTCGCATTGGGACACCTGTGAAAGCACCTTGAAAAGCCACCGAGGGCTACCTGACTTCCATTCGTGGCCAGGAAGGAAGCCTGATTCCATGTGGGAAGTGGCGCTTTGAGGCACCTCAGCGCTAGAAATGCTGAGGGGATGGCACAGACCAGAGCTTTGTGCAGGCTCTGGAAGATGCTGCTGTCTGGAACCACCTGGCTCTTCAGAAGGCATCTCCCCAGAATCAAGAGTACTAGAATGGGGTCTTCTTTTCAAGCAAATCTTCCATGTGGCAGAAAGCCACATGGCATGGAAAGGCGTAGACTGCCACCCCTTCTGGTTTGGCAGAGAACGTGCTGAAGAAGCATGGATGGCTTTCACAGCAGACACATAATGCTGTATGAGTGTGGCCTTCTAAGCCAGACAGGGTAGCACAGGAGGGAAGAAGCTCTTGAGCACACCGGGAGCTTGCCTGACTGAGCACACCGAGCTGGAAACCCCCCTGCCCCAGCAGGATACCTGCACAGCCAAGAAGCCCAAAATCGCTTGCGCTCCACCAAGAGGCCTCGTGCGTTTGAAAGAGCTGTCCCGTGAAACCACCTCATGAGGGCACTCTGCCTTCTTGACTCTGGGCATGACGATGCCAGAATGGAACAGGATGAAAACGGCTGATGGAAACTCAACAGTCAGACAGGACGAGGTGAAGGACAAGGTGCAGGTGGGACCTGTTCAATACAGGCTTTGTGCTTGGAGGCTCGCTAGGTCAAACATCTGCTTGGGGGCTATAAACCAGGCCCTGCGAGCCGGGCGGATTCGATGTCAGACTGGGCAGCCATCGGTCCACAGAACCAAACGCTGCTCCTATGGCAGAGAGAGGGGGGCAGAAGCACGTCCCTGGCGTCTGTCCCCAGTGCAGGGGGAGAAACAGGCCTCTGCAGGGCTTAATGCCTGTGGCAGTGCGTTACCATCAACACTGGGATAACGATCAACAGCGTTACGCTGGGATAACTCACAGGCTGTTAAAACTGCAAGGTTCGGTTCTGTGTCGCGTGGGCTTCCCGGGGGACGTTAACACAGGCAAAGGCTCAAAATGGAGAGCACAAAAACATGACTCGGGATTGTTCACAAAAAAGCATTAATTTTAAACAGGCAATTAAAAGGAACACCTGGTTTTATTAAAGCCGTGTATTTGACAGGAAAGATCACTAGGTATGAACGAACCGCCTTGTATCTGCAGCTAGTACCAACTTCCAGGTCAGCTTCGGTGCCTGCGATTCCCTCCAGGCCCCAGCAAATTAAATGAGGGGTGAGGCTGGGGAAACGAGGAGCTGGGAGCCCGGCAAGCTCCTGCTCACTGCATGAGGCACCAAAGCTGAGGAGAAGGGACCGCGCAGACCCACCTGGGCATGCGGCCGGGACGGACAAACGAGCAGCACGGCGTGCGTGCGGTGACACGGTCTGCAAGGAGGGGACACGGTCTGCAAGGAGGGGACACAGTCTGCAAGGACGGGGTGACGGGGAGGGGGTAGCACAGGGGGCTGTGGCTGATGGGCGCCCGAGGGGCAGCGCGGCGCACGGGCGGCGCGGGGGCTGCGCGCAGCGGGGCCGGGGC